GACGTATGAAACGACGAAACGGGAACTCCGTGCCTGGGGGTATAACTGGGTCACCCTGTTGCTGGGGGATATAAATACGGGAACCTGGCCCTCCAGGTTGAAGGAGTCTCGAATCTGACACAGCAAAATGTGGTCATGAGTCCCACGGGACTCGGACCTGAGAATGACTGCGCTGACGAGTCCAGCAGTCAATGTAAACGACAGTCCAATTCCCTCGTCAGAGAGGATGTTTCAACAGGACTATAACCACAAGTGGTCAGTTGGAAAATAAAATTACTGGTCGTGATTCTCAAGGAGCTTGTCGACAAGAAGAACTGATTGGCGGTAAACCGCCATTCGTAAAGTAACTCTGGTTCTTGAGTCAGAATTTATCATAGCCAGTGAGCTGTAAGTTGAGGACTAGCTGCGAGACGGTGGTCAGTCTGCAACGACGTAAGCACTACAGCAGAGGACTCTCCTTTGCTGGGAGCCGTAACCGAGCAACGACTAGAGAAAACTATAACAGACGGTGAAAGGGCTTGCTATAGTAATTTGTTACTTGTGTAGATTAGCAACAGTGTTGTAAGTACCTGTAGTTAGGAGTTCTAAGCCTTCAATAAATCCAGTTATCAATCCATACAGTGTACAGTCAATAACACGTGACAATAGTGATCTAGTGGTAAAGCCCTAGACTTATATTCGGGATCAGACAAAATAATCAGTGGCTATGGAGTGCCAAGGCTATGCTCTTCACCCTCACGTCCGTAATGGACCTGGCAAACTTCCCAGTTTCCCATGCAGTGGCGTGGGTGGGGAATGGCCTCTAAACACAAAGAACTGGAAATGTGATGCAGCCACAGGAGTAACATTATCTTTGGTTTGCTTCTCTCCCCTTTCCTCCTCACGTCTCAGTCTTAAAACTTCGTTAACCACACCAGAGCTAACTTCCAAGAAGTCGTTTAGAATTTTGTGAAATAAATTTTAATTTTTAACTGCGAAACTGAACATTTCGGTAAGGAACAAATCTTTACATATGTCATGTGCACGATTACAAGGCCACTCCCATACTAGACTCTTACTATAAGGAGTGAGAGTGGGAATATGGAAACCAGTTTTGAGTACGTACTCTGTAAGCATGTTCTTTGTTGTGTTATATGTGAGAGTATCGCAGATGTGACACCATGCAGTCTGGTAGGAGTTCATTAAAATTTCGAAGGAACCTGTGACCTCCATTTTCATTCTCAAAGAGTAGCTAAGCAAGCAACCGACGTCTTTCTGGATGCTTGCTTCTCCTACTCTTCGGTGCTGAAAAAGAAGTCGGGTTAGCCGCGGTAGCTCACTCGGTATAGCGACTAACTACTGGCTGGGCAACGAGGGATCGGAGTTCGGTACCCGGTAGGGTCATTTAATTGTCACTTCTCCGTGTCGTTCAGGCCGGCTCTGCGGTCCACCCAACCTCCTATCCGATGGGTACCTGGGCTCTATCCCCGGTGGTAAAGCGGCCGGGGCTCGAAGCTGACCACTCACCTCCAATTAGTGCCGAGGTCAAGAAAATGTGGACATGTACATCCACTCCTCTGTACGCCTTCATGGCGTGGTGCTTACTTAGTCAAGTACAGGGACAGCTTTATCTTACCTCGTGCTCCGGCTGGCTGTCTTACCCATGTTTGTATTTGTAACGGTCAACGAAGATCTCAAGACATTTTGCCGCATCTCTACGGAAAATCATGAGGTGAACCATGACGTAAGGGGAGGTTAAAAATAGTGGGCGGTGGAATATGACAGTATGATTCAAAGTGGGATAAGAAGGTGAAATAAATAATTGGAAAGAAATTATTGAAAAGGTCTTAATATTCTTAAACCAAATTAGTCACATAATTACCTGTAACAAAATTTGGCTTTATTTACACAAAATCTTGCTAACTGTTGTGTCATAATGTGCATTTTGTTTCAGAGTTTATTGTTTAACATTCCATTCAACAGTATTAATGTGATATAACTCCATTTTGCATTAAAATTCGGTCGCTCTTTACTTGTGAAAAAAGATGAAAACTATTCCATCTGGCTCGAGTTAGAAATGTATGAGGAACTTTTGAGAGTCTGATAATGAAATTTCGGGTTCCGTAAGGAGCTTGGATTTCCTCTGATACGTAGGAAAATATTAATTTCTGAAAATGGGCGCTGCTCCATGCAGTAGGTGAACAGAGTTAAACGGTGTGACATTCGTCATCTAACGGCGTCGTCAAGAAATTCATATTTTGTTAGCCATGGGAGAGACACAGTAGGCCCTATGCATTAACTTTCCAACACCATGTTCCACGTCACACCATGTATGAGGAAACTAAGTACCTCCATGGAGATAAGTCCCTCTTGAAGAAGTTTATAGTTCTCATAGCGTATTTCATGAAGAATTCTGTATTTAGGATATAAAACTTTGCAGTCCTTTGAGAGTCAACGGACGTTTCAGAGAAACTTGTCACCTCCATTTTCAGCCGAGCAAGAAACAAACTTGAAGCAAACAGCAGCTTGTAATTGTGTTCCAAAATATAAAACTCTTCATAAGCTAGAAGTTGATCAGCTAGTCAATATAATTCCAGCATTTTTTAGAACCATATGATTCAGTACCGTGTTCATAAAGCCCGCTGCTGCTCTGTATCCTGAGACAGAAAAATCTGGTTCAGACAATCGCATCCTATTTCTTCAGCATCCACTTCAATACAGTCATCACAAGGGCCCGGATTTTGATGACATGTCATCTTTTTTTCCTTGTATCCTATGCGATGCTCTTAAATATATATAAATCTCGGATATGAGCTGCTGGTTACAAAAATGTAGATTTTATAGGTTTTTTGTCATTTTTTGACATTTTTAGGTTTAAGGTCATTTTTTTCATTTGGGGGGTCATTTTTTGGACTTACAAGGGTATTTCTTGTCATTTTTGTCCATTTTAGGGAATTTTTCTTCATATATTTTCTGAAATGTGAATAACATGGAAGCGAAGTGCTCTTTCTTTTCTCCTTTAGGTAATTTTTCTGGATTTTTTCGGTCATTTTATAGGTCATTTTTTAAAATATTTTCAGGTCATCAATATCCGGGCCCTATCACATTTGTGCCTAAGTTTTTTCGTTTGTCTCATTCCTTCAGCTTCAAAATTTTGTATGCACTTCTATCCCTTTGGTGCTGCATGTCTTGCCCATCTTATCATCTTTGGTTTGATCATTCTAATAGTATTTCGAGATGAGTACAGTTATATAATTGTAATTGTATTTATTGTAGATGTAACTGTATTTGAATCCTATTCATTGTGTAGGAAACAGCGGCTCCGGTTTAGAAAACCGAAATTAAAGGCCTTGGGGATTCGTTGCGCTGACCACGCGACACCCACTATCTGCTAAAGTTGGCACTAACTTCGCCGACAAGCGGCGGTCGCTCGGTCGGTATAGTTCGCTTGCGGACTAAAACCACGGAGTTTGTTTTGTTTTGTGGTATTCATTGTGTGTAGTATATCCTTTATTGTTTCTGTAGTTTCGTGTGCTGTGTGTTATTTGTGTGTTATGTCTTATGTATCACGGCTGCCATCGGATAAAAACCCATTTGCAGTTGAAATAAATAATAATAAACATTATTCGGTTTTCTTCAACCTCCTCTTATTTTATCCCTTTTATGTTTAACTGTTGTCACTTGTATGAGTGACTGTAGAAGGTTTGGATTGTTAATTGGATTTCTTGCATACTTACAAATCGTAACTTAAAGTAACTATAACGGTCTCGCTAATTCACACACTAAGCAGTTCATTACAGCACGCAATAAGTCTTCATAGTGTGTAGTATCTTCACTGGTTGTGGCCTGGTAGCGGCTTCCAAGGCGGTAGCTTCCTCAGCTGCCGCCTGAACGCCCTTACTGGCCGGCATCTGTCTCACAACTAATTCAGTGCTCCAACTGAATAACTCCCAGGCTGGCAGCCATCTCACACCAACCTCTTAGTTTTCTCATTGCCATCTCAAGACTCTTTCGTAGTCGCAGCTGCTCCTCGTTATATAGCCTCGGCACGGACGACATAGTAAACATCTCTCCCAACAGTACTGACGTTGTTGTGTCACGTAGCTATCGCACGGGTCTCTTAAAGAACGCCTTTTCCCAGTTACTCCTTTGTTGCCTGTTTTGAATCTGTTTCTTAGCAACGGGTGTTTTTGCAGAGCCGTTTCTTAGCAACTGCTCTCTCTGCTGGCTTCACAGTTCTTGCCTTGAACAAATATGCCACATGATTCTCCTTGGAATCCTGGCATCACAACTCCCCAGTTTAAGTTGTATTAAGAGATGGTGGTTCATGCCCATAAAGACTGCAGACAAAATTTGTAATTGTGTAAAATTTATTTTCATTGGTTGCATCCTGTTGTGTGTCTCAGACAATATACATGCAGTAACTATGCTACCGCCAACACAACAAGTATTTCAATATTACATTTAGATCTTTATTAATATGAAGCGTTGCACCGAAAAAGATTCGTATCGATGTTTCAATAACTGTACGCATTCTTGCCTGATGATGGTCATGCATGACCGAAACATTTCGCAGTAAATGAAGATCTAAATGTAATATTGGCCGGTCACGGTAGCCGAGTGGTCTAAGGCATGTACTGCCTTCGCTCGCTTGGAAACCGGGATCGTGGGTTCGAATCCCACTCAGGGCATGGATGTTTAGTTTGTGTGTGTGCGTTTTTCAGTATCTGTGTACAGGTAGAGGCCTTGCGACGAGCTGATAACTCGCCCAAGGAGTCCTACCGTATGTGTAAGATCTAGAAAAACCGAAGTGAACGGAGAAGTTCATGGAGGTAGGCCTAGGCCCACTGGGGCTGTAGTGCCAAGGAAAAAAAATTCCGTATATTTGACAGGAACTTTTCAACTGTCTGTAAGTTTAAACATTGCAATTACAATGCAAGTCACATTATTCGTGTACACCAATAGCAAATTCTATGTGTCAGGAAGAATTCTAGACATTCCTTTCTGTTGTATGTTTTCAGATGAAATGCGCCTTGGCTTTGTTGGTATGCAGCTCAGACATACACCCTCGCCCCTCATACCGCGCTGAAATTACTAGCGCACACTATCACGTCTTGTTAGACTTTGCTGCGACGTACAACAGGAATGCACCATATTCTGAACCGGATTGCTATTCATCTTGCAGCATATTTTGGCCCTACAAATCACACGCCGTATCAGAACTGAAGAGAAAGTATCGGGGTGAGTCATAAGAATAAATACATATTTATACATACAGAATTATCTTGCAGGAGACATAGGCTGTTGTCGGTAGAATTGCTTTCTATTAACGCGCTGTGTTACCACTATCTCACCCAGCATTTTTATGATTTTACTATAAAGATAGTTTATGTGAAAGAAGCGAATGACGTCGTGTTTTATATCGTGGTGATTTGTGACTGCTGGTACATCAGATTAACAAATTATGGCATTATTTAAACAAGAAATGAACACAAATTATGTAGGAGCCGTGATAACTCAGTCGGTTAAATGATCGACTGTGGGCAGGACGACCGGGGTTCGATTCACAGTAAGGGAAGTATATTCTCTTTCCCACAGCGTCAAGACCGGCTCTGGGGCCTACCCAGCCTCCCATCCAACAAGTATCGAGGGCGTTTTCCCCAGAATAAAGTGGCCTGAGCGTGAAGCTAACAACTCGCCTCCACTTAGCACCTCCACTTCCCCGCAAGTCTTCATAGCATCCTCCTTAATTTAGTAAGCATATGGACGTATTTACCTTCTTGAACAGAAATAAAGCAATTATATTTAGAAAGTTCAATTTCCATCGGATGTGGAATGCCAAGGTCTTTTCCCAAAGTTATTTTTCGAAAATACTGTTTGAAGTTATTAGAAACGTGCTTAATCTCTTATACCTAAAGTAAAAAGTAAAGGTTTCCCTGTAACAGGCCGTGGAGGCCCATAAGGTTCTGAGATGTTGAGGTTCCCACATTTTCTAGACAATCGGCTCATAGATGGTGGTAAGGTTGTCAGCCTTACACGCAGACCGCCCTTTACACCACCAGGGAGATTTTTGGTACTCATTTATGTTAGAGGCTGAGTCGACCCCAGGGCCATAGAGCAGCTGGAATGATTAGATAAATTGAAAAAAATCCACCTCATCTGGATTCGATCTCGCGACCTTCCGGCTTGTAACATAGTGTCTCAACCAACTACGCTACCGCGTGCCCCCTATCTCTTATACCTTGTTCCACAAAAATGGGTTCCTGGATTTTATAGACATCAGGCAATACATGTAAACGGATAGCTTGATCTAATGAACAAGTTTCCGTCTTAAACTAAATAATTTACATAAAAGTCTGTTGCTTCGACCCTGAATGTCACAAAGAAAGGTCTTGCTTCCAGACAGCACCAATTTGAATGAGACAGATTATGGCTGTCAACGAGAATTTATACTGGAGACTGATGAAATCCACTTTAGTGCTTGTTCATGACGGCGTAAGAAAGTAGTAAGTAACCTTTTCCTGCGAACAAATTGGTGTAGAAGGAAGGTTTATTGGTTTCTGTTCTCCACGTGGAAAGCGTTAGCTACTTACAGCTTTCATTTAATTGATGAAGGTGCGTCGTAAAAACTTCTGCAAGGCAGGATATCGAATAATATGCTAACATAAGAACACACCGAGGAAACATACTGCAATGTCCTAAGTTACGGTACCTTGTATTATGGTAGATGATTACCATGGTTTCCCAGACATAACTACCTTTTATCTTCATGGTAGCAGTAAGTTCCTCCGAAATGCTTGGCCACCTAACAGACTACACGGTGTCATAACCCAGAAGAAAACAATATGAATCTCCATCGTTTTGAGAACCTCAGATATTAGGTATCGAAATAAGTATGAAATACATTTTTTGTATGTTCGATAAACGTTAATTCTATATACAGAAACTGCAGTAACGATGGAATAGGTCCCCGCCACATCTCCAGCGGTTAGTCGCTGGCTTTCCACCGCGGCAGCCCGGGTTCGATCCCGGGTCTGGTCAAGTGGGATTTGTGGTGGACAAAGTGGAGCTGGGGCAGGTTTTCTCAGAGTACTTCGGTTTCCCCTGCCAATCTTCATTGCACCAATTGCTCCAGAATCACCTTCACCTATAATCTGGGGCTGGTACAATAGGCCAGAAGTGGCCGCAGTACAAGGGACTTAGTCCCACCCCACTAGCAAAAAAATAATAGTCACACCCCACTAGCAATAAACGATAAAATAAAAGCTCTGAATTTCGGGTGACCATAGCAAAGAATGTGGAGGCGTTAGCAAGTTACATGAACGCAAGTAATAAGCAGCGAAAGGGCGAGCAGCCTTTTCGTTCAGTGTAACTTGTATTATTTTGTGAGTACTGATGATACTTTGATGAGAATATGTACAATCTAGTATGTTGTGTAAAGGTGAAGGTTTAAGATTTACTGTTTTGCGTGTTATTCGTGGGAGACGACGTTAAACGTCGGCCTCGATGTATCATTCGATAACAAGTAGAGCTGGAAAGGTAATACGAGAGAAAGCAGAGGAAGTTAAAAAGTGTACGGAGCCTTATACATATAATGACTACCGAGACTTCCTTTGAATTCTCGACCAGTGTTAAACAGTCTTCATTTTTAAAAATACGACACTAAGTTCCTAGGATTTAAGTTTTCGTTATTCTTGATAGAATATCAGTTTCAGTCTATTAATCATTGGTATCAGGTTCCCCATAGAAAAGCTATTTGCTGGTTGCTTCCTAATGCATGCATTTTTGTATTACTCCTTTACCCTGAAGATTGTTGCTGTACGGTCCTCCGAAACGTCGGTGAACTACCGCCGGACCACACATATTCACATCCCAGTATACAATACTCTTTAAAATCACCGTTGTGTGAAACTCAAATCCACTGTAGGGTAATTAACGACTTTGAATAATTATCGGGAATATGAAAAAAGCGGCAGCTACTGGATGTATTATTTACGTTTCCGTTTAATGCTACAGGAGTACGTGGTAGTGTAGGTGGTTGAGGTGCTATTCTACAAGCCGGAAGGTCGCGGGGTTGAGTCCCGATGAGGTCACGGGATTTTTAAATTTACCTAATCCTTCCAGCCGCACTATGGCCCTGGGGTCAATTCAGTCTCTAACAGAAATGAGTACCAGGAATCTTCCTGGGGGTAAAGGGCGGCCGACGCTTAAGGCTGACAACCTCACCGCCATCTGTGAACCGATTGTCTAGAGAAAATGCGGGAACCTCGACGTCTCACAACCCTATGGGCCTCCACGGTTTGTTACAGGGATAGCTTTACCTATTTAATGCTACACGTTTACAGAAGAGTTGGGCGAAATAAATGAGGTGATACAGTAAATGTATACAAGGAAATATTTGGAGTCTAATATGTAAAGGTAAGGTAAAGGTAAAGGTGTCCCTTTACCAGGCCGTGGAGGCCCATAGGGTTGTGAAATATTGAGACTCGCATATTTTCTAGACAGTCGGCTCATAGATGGCGGTGAGGTTGTCAGCCTTATGCGCTGGCAGCCGTTTACCCCCAGGGATATCCCTGGTACACATTTCTGTTGGAGGCTGAGTCGACCCCAGGGCCATAGTGCGGCTGGAAAATTAGGTAAATTGAAAAAATCCACCTCATTCGGATTCGATTCCGAGACCTTCCGGCTTGTAGCATAGTGCCTCAACCAACTACGCTACGAAAATAATGCAATTAATTTTGATTAATTCAGCAAAATCAACAAAATTAAAATAATATTATTCTGTCATTCTGAAAGACACTGTCTTATAATATTTGGANCCAGCCCAGCTTAAATCTTTCAAATGTATTTTCCCTTCCCATTTTCCAACCAAAAGATCGTAAGGTCTGTCTCACAGGTTCTGCGTACCCTGCCCATATCACAGTCCTTGGTTTGATTATAGTAATCATGTTCAATGAAGATCATACATTGTTATCTTTTCTTCTTATGCAGTTTCAGCGAACCTTGTATCACTTCTCATTCAGGTTCAAACATTCTCCTCGATTTATGTCCTTCCCTTAATATGGGAGGTCAGACTTCATAAACTTTCAAGATTGAAGGTAAAATTAGTCTTTTATGTTCTAATCTTTACGTTTATAAATAGAACACTGGAAGAGAATGGTTCACAGCTATATGGTAACAAGCACACTCTCAAATTAAAGAAGGCAGAAAAAATAAAAAAAGAATCATACATGGGCCTAAATCTTTTCAGCAGATATTTGAACTTTTCAGATTGACTACATAATGAGGAGCTTCATAATTCGGACTTTTTGCCAAATATAAATAGAACGATCAAGCCAAGGAGGATAAGATGGACAGGGCATGTAACACGAGTGGGGGAGAAGAGGAACACATAAAGGATATTGGTGGGAAAGTCTGAAGTAAAGAGACCAGTAGAAAGACTAAGATGTAAGTGGGTCGACATTATTAAAATGACCTTAGATAGAATACAGTTTAATTGGTTGGATCAATCTGGCTCAGGATATGGACCAGTGGTGAGGTCTTGTGAACACGTTATTGAACCATCGGTTTCCGTAAATTGCTTGGAAGTTCTCGAGTATCTGCAAAAGTGGCAGCTTCTCAAGAAGGGTCCAGCTCAATAAAGTTATTATTTAGTTAGTTAATGTGAACCCTTCAGATGTCGTAATAGGAAGAACCCGAGGTAAAATTTTATGAACCCATGTTGGCATGGCAGTGGAATATATAGCAACAAGGAAGGAAAATGTATAACGAATGCTGCCGACGAAACTGAAATTCCTTGAACTGGCAGAGGGCTGTGTATGGGGATAATTAAAGCAGCGGATTGAACATTTGGAATCAATGAATGATGAACTGATACCAATATTTGTAATGAAAGGGAACTCAAGGTAAAAAAAAGGAGCTGTGAGAAGGCATGGCGGTTTGAATTCGAAATAAACTTTTAGATAAATTCTGAGTAAGCTAAAATCTTCAAAATAAACAAAATTTTGTTTTTTTCAGATACTACCCTTGTATCTTTGTCTACTTTTTATAGTCTGCAAATTTATTCCCCACTTTCATTTTACCACCTATGAAGAACTGCAAATTGAGTGATATAAATTTCACTTTTAACCAAATTTTGTTATTAAAACATTTCGTATTATTTCGAAATTCTCACAGATATGACTATGAAGAATGCTGTCTTTTATTACTTAAAAGCGTGTATTCTGATACCTCACCGATGT